TATTGTTGTTTAATAATGGCAACTGTTTGATGACCACTACGAACTCCCCTAATTAGAACTTCTTGATTTTATCGAAGCCCCCAGCAAGAAGCTGTTTTGTTTATAGGATCCGCTTTTATAAGGTCTCGGTATTCAGTCTGGGATACCGCCCGCCAAAATATCTTGTTAGTCGTATAAAGTATCACTGAATATCTAATGAAAATGCGCCTTTCACTTGAAAATCAACACTGGGTTTTTTGGAGTCTTTCTACCACGCACCTGTCATGCCCTGGTACTGTGGAGGATTGATCAAAGAGTAAAAAGACACAAAGGAATGAAAACCTTTGTTATCATTTGGGGCAGCTAATTAGGATATCCTCTCGGATGAAATTAATTTTTTTATATCGTTATTAGGGGTAGGGAGAAATAAGACAGATTTTTAAAAGCGTGGAATTTCTTCTTCCCGCAAACGGCAGACATGACAAGGTGTTCATAGCTTCTTTGCATTTAACTTTCCCTTGTCAAGTTTCGTTTTATTTACGTTATAGGATCGCTAACAGTATAGGCTAACAAGATAGGCTCTGTTTATTCCATTTTCTGCTTCTTTTAAACAACACGCTCTAAGAGCGTAAACTGTCCGCCTGTCGTGTGCATAAAGGCTCAAAGCTAGAAAACTTGTGCAAAGGCTTACCAAAAGATCCCATTGTATTTTGTACGGTGGCCCTGACAAATTGCTCGCGGTAAAAAAATCAACAGGAAACCCAATACGTCGTTGCCCACCACAACCTTTATTGTATTCTGCCGTGGCTTTCTTTGTTCTGCCGTGAGTTTAGTTTATTTTGCCGTGGCTTTCTTAATTCTGCCGTGAGTTAAGTTTATTTTGCCGTGAATTTATTGCCTTTTTAGTTTATTTTGCCGTGAATTTATTGCCTTTTTAGTTTGTTTTGCCGTGAGTTTAGTTTGTTTTGCCGTGAGTTTAGTTTGTTTTGCCGTGAGTTTAGTTTGTTTTGCCGTGAGTTTTTATTTTGCAGTGAGACTTGTGGGCCACCGTAATTTTGCGTATAAAGAGCATAATTTTATTTAGCTCGTAATACAGTGACTAGATTTATAGATTCATACTTAAAGAATATAATTTCAAAGTGTTTATAAGTATTTGATTGCTTTTCTTAAATAAACTATTAAAGTAAAGAAGTCCTAAAAATGTTTAAATCCTAACAACATCAATTCGTCTGAGTTAAAAAATCATTGGTAACATCGTACACATCCATATTTGGATGCTAATGTAATTAGCTTAGACCATATATATCTCAGAAGAGACTGGGCAGGAGTTTAAGAAGCGCACCACGTAACCTAACATGACTGCGCATGTTCAAAAAAACGTTACTGCTGAGCTTAATTACTCAAGCGTTCAGTAGTTCTTCTGAGCAACTGGCGCGACTTGCCCTTTCCTGACCAGGGAGAGGTGCGCACTTCCTTTGATTATTGAAAAACTCTATGTCTTTAGTACATCTATTATATATAAGCCTATAAGATCAGTTGTAACAAGCCTATTGGTCTTTCAAGAGAGTTTCTAAGCTTTCCGCCATATTGAAAAAATAGCGTCTCCTAAAAGATTTCCACGATTCAGTACGTGTCCTACTCGTTACCAGTTTTCCTCCGCGCAATATCAATTCGGTAACTTTATCTTTTGAACAAAAACAAGCTCATAAAGAGTCCTAGTATAACCCTTCTCCAGAAATGGGGCTTGCTAATTGGTCCATTGGATTGAGCAGCTAATTGGACATCTTTACCACATGACTCTAGTGTGTCCAGTATTTTCTTATATCGCGTTCCTAGCCATTTATCTGTGGTGTTTCTGTGGCTAACATCGACTAGTTTGAGTGTTGAATCCTTAAAGAGGACATCCGCATCCCCGTATGGGGTAGAGTTGAACATTTCGAAGGATTGTGTCTTATTTCGGAGGTGTTCGTCGAGCTCCAAGAGGAATATTCTGTAGCCACGTGTTCTAAAGTACTCTTTACCATTATCTCTCGTCATTACGGCTCCAGCAGGAATTCTAGCCAAGCTGCATGTCTCGTAATCTCCAACTTCTACAAAACAGGAAACGGAAAAAATAATTGACAATCGTATACATCGATGGTAGCCTGGGAATGAGGGTCGGCGGCAAAACAGCTAAACGTGCTGTGATTGGCTGAAACAAAATTCACCGCTCGGCTGGATAGGTTTTGAACATTTATGATATTTGCCCTCACCTTTACGACTGCCATCCGGACAAAGAAGCCTGAAATCCATCCCAGGATTCAAGTCGTTATTGATTCCAGTAAATTCGAAGACTGTGCTATGCCTTACGAACGCGACCTGACCTTTCTTCTCGACTAGACACGTATACGAACCATTATATCCATAGTACCTTTCAGTTTTGTCAGGACAAGATGGCTTGTTGCAGGCCCAGCATAAGTTACGAGGGTTTTCGTGTTGAGGATCGTACTTGGAGGAAAACACTCCTGAAATTAAATGAGAAAATTAAAATCTTAGAGGTACAACAAGGCCGCGACGATGTAACATAAAAATGGCCAATAGACAAGAGTGAAGGATGAATGGAAGGTTTTTATGGAAGCCGTAGTTGTGGGGCAAAACAATCGAAACTTTTATTTAATCTTGGGTTGCAACCACACGACTCAAAACCCTTGAGATATAAAAAAACAATGAAACGGTCGCCATGTTGGTTGATCTAACATGAGAAGAGTATTTGAATGTGTTTTGTTATCGTCAAATGAAATGGCGGCTATGACGCCAGTAACATGCATCCTCAGAATTTTTTGGAAAATAAGATTATTGCCATGCAAAATTCTTTTTTGCCCCGGAACACACGAATGCCGTGAATTTAACAAATAGACATCAGTTATTTATGTGTCTGTCCTCTTATTGACGATAAATTGCGTCATTACATTGTCAAAGTAGTGTGGATCCACGGGGAGTAGCCGAGTGCATCCGCATACTACTTTGACAATGTGATGACGAAATTTATCGTCAATAAGACGACAGACACATAAAAAACTGATGTCTATTTTTTTTTACAATAACGAAAACGATAAAAACTTCTCACTTTAGCGATGAAAACAACCAACGGAAAGAGCGCGCGCTCGTTGACATCCGCGAGAAATTTGTAAGTTATTGTAAAAAACCATTTTGCATAACCTACCTGGTACGCAGCTCTTCTCAAAGTACGCCCCGGCAGACAAATACGTATTACAACTCTTCCAAGACAACATCTTTTCATCTATCAGAAATCCCATCGGTACTATCCAGCCAGCGGTATCTCCAGCACGTGGATGACACGTGATAGCTCCTCTTAATGTCTTGATTGTCAGTGAAGGATCGGCATCTTTCAGTATTAGTGCTACCACAAAATAGCTCGTGTGTATTGTATGACCATAATCTTCTCCTACTACTGGAAGTAAATCAAAATCTCTCCCTAAAAGTGAAAAAAAACAACACACTTTACTATGACATATACACCTATTTTAATAAACGTTGTCATCGCCAAAGGCGCAATTTTCTTCGCAATGAAACCACACATTAGGAATACTATAGCGGTACGTGGGTATGTAGTAAGTCGCATTTTATTGGTTAAGATCATGTATGTTGGACAGTAGCTTATGGCGCGAAGTGATTGCTTGAGGAGGCTCGAATGAATGACGATGGTGTTCTCATTTATGCGGTGGGGATAAGGCCCGTTTCCCTTTTAAAAGGAGGTCAAGGAAAGCAAGAGACTGCCCCGCCCCCCCTCGCGTAGCCTGCCCATGTTTAGGCTCACACAAGACCATCATGTTCACTGACAGACCTTCATACCTTATGCAGTGCCCCGCCATTTTCAACCTTTGCTAATACAATTGCTAACAACGTTGTATATCGTATCTACAGGATGACATTTTTTGTGGGTAACGATGCGGAAGTATATCTTGATTCTATTTAGTGTTCTACTATAACATTATGCGCAGCGTTGCAGTGCAGAGATGGACGCACGGGGCACTGTTGTGTCGCGCGTGTAATAACATTGCGCGCACTAGTTGCATGCAGAGCTAGACGCACGTTTAACTCTCGTATATCTCGTAACAATGTTGCGCGCGAAAGTTGCGCCAATCCCAGAGCTCTAAGTTGTTATTTTAAATTTTCAGTCCGCTATCCTGGAGTAATTTGATTTTTATCATACTATCGTGTGCGGTTTTGCAACGAATAAAAAAGTAAAAAGCAGCTTTCCACAGTAACCCAAGTTAATCTAGGTTTTTGATAAGCAAGAACAAACAACTTGCTCAACTTCTCAATAACTAATTCTAACCCACTTCCAGACAAATCTCAATCTTATCACTAACCTGCAGTGTAAATATCGGCTTCATGCAACGTGACTAGGTCTGCCTCATTCTTAGAAATGCGTGACATGCAGTGCGTTACATTCTGTCCTCTCACGCATGTGATGTTCATAGGAATAGAGAAGCTCGTTATGGAGCGTGCAGCTCGGGCCATGTCTTGACATTTGCGCATCTCTTTTTCTGTAACGCAACACCATCTTGCTTCTGTGAAAAGAAAATAGAATACAGCATTAGCTATGAATGTAAAAGCATCGGAAAATCGAAGAACGTGCTTAGAGGTTGAAAGGAGAAAACACCTCTCCCCTTCTCTCCTCTCTCTTGCACACTGTGATTTAATAAGCATATCTAAAGACTGTTTAAATATTTAAGAGGAAATTTTTTTCAATAATGAGCAATAATGGCAAAAAGTGCCAAAAACTAGACTTTCGTATGAGTTTTGATCCCAATTTTCGTTTTGGGTTAACACTCAAAATCTGAGTTAGAAACTGAAGTACTATGATAAAATGCAGTTTGAAGCGGTATTTTCAATTGTACAGAGATGTACGTTTTGTTGAACTTGTGTTAGAATGTTGCTTTGTCAGGCTTTTTTATAGACAATTTATGGGAAATAAGCAAATGAAGGCCTAAACCTCATTTTTAAATAGAATTTTTGCTTTGGGTTAACACGTTGATTCCACTTTCATCGGTCATCTCCACTTTCAAACAAGTTAAACTTTCTGAATAAAAAGATCTTAGCCTTGTACAACAGGCTTTCTTTAAGAAAATAGTTTTTGGCGTTCACTGCTTGAATACGAAAAGAATTCTCTCTTAATTTATAGTTTGTTCTGTTTATGAATAACGATTTATTAGTTTCAAATAAGGCATATTTTGTGGCGATCAGTTCGTCAAAACAAAAAGACCGCACTTCGTCGTTTCTTGCCCACGTCAACGCATTGGTTGTCTTGTTTGGGTTTGACTTAGACGAGACGCTCTTTATCGAATTATCTTTACGGTATTTGTTCCTTTTTATATTCGATTCTGATCTTTAGAGTTCAGTGTACAGTAACTATGGCAAGCCATACCATTCAAAAGTGATTGAGTTTGCAACTGCCTGTTGAGAAATCGACTGATGATTGAGAAT